CCTTACAGAATGCTCTCCAAAAACAAAAAATAAGCAGTGTTGAAGTTCCTCACTCCACCAACCACTTATACATTGTCAAAGTAAAGTCGCCAGCCAATCAAGAAAAAACTATCTCGGTGGTTGGAACGGGGGAAAAATTGCCCGAAGAAAAAACTTATTTTGATTTGGCCGACTTAATTTGTGCGGTAGTAGGTTACATTAACCTCCATCATGGTTTAGGTAATACTGAAAAAAGGGAAGATGAGGATAAATTAGAAAATCAAACTATTCGTCGAGTTGGCGATTTAGTTTACAATATTTTTGACAACAAATTAGGCAGTTTTTTTGCAGGATATTGATAACAAGTATTTAACTAATTATCTTTCTCAATTAAAAAAAGTTGACTTTTTGAAAATACCTAATTTAAAAGATTTCGATAACCTTATCAAACATTTTTTTAATAAGTCCACTTTAGTTCGCTTACAAAATCAAAATAATCCCTTAGCAATTATTTCAGATGGAATGGTATCAAGTGTGATGGGGCTGGGAGGACGTAATTCGGTTAATGCTACTTTAGCGGCCCGGAATGTTTATTCCTCTTTTAGTGGTCGTTATGACCCAGTAGAAACCCCCGAAGGACGAAATACTGGTTTGGTTCGCCGAATAACGATTGGGGCTAAAATAAACGATGAGGGGCAAATAACTACTCCCTATTTTCCGGTTCGTAATGGATTAATTGTGCCCTCCTTGGTTTACCTAACCAGTGAAGAAGAAAAAGATAAATATATTGCTCACTTTAACCTAAAAATTGATGATAAAAATCAGATTACGGAAGAAACGGTGTTGGCTATTCACCAAGGGAATTATGTTCGCATTCCCAAAGAGAAATTAGAGTTTATTTACAGTTCCTTTTATCATTTAAATTCAGTAACCAGTGCTACCATTCCCTTTTTTCATCACAACGATGCTACCCGCATGCTAATGGCAACTAATATGCAAAGACAAGCGGTAACTCTCTTGAAAAGTCAAGAACCATTAGTGGCCAGTGGAATTGAAGCGGGTCTTCTAAATAACTCCCCCTTAGCAGTTAAGGCGGAAGAAAAAGGAGTTGTAGAATATGCCGATAGTTCCCAGATTATTGTTAAAGAAAAAAATAAAGAAAAAAAAACTTATCAGTTAGAACAATTAGTAGTTTCCAACAAAAATATTCTTAACTTTTCTTTTCCATTGGTAAAAAAAGGTGATAAAATTGAAAAAGGACAAATGCTGGCCTGCGGAAATTACGCTAACAATGGAGAATTATCATTGGGCAATAATTTACGAGTTGGTTTTTTTTGTTTTGATGGTTATAATTATGAAGATGGATTTGCCATTAGTGAAAGATTAGTTAAGGAGGATATTCTTACTTCCTTTTTTGTCAAAAAGCATACGATTACCCGGCACAATACCAAATATGGTCCAGAAATATTCACTCCTTCCTTTCCTCGTAACGAAAAGAAACAATTTCCGCACTTGGATAAAAACGGAATTGCCAAAATTGGAAGTCGAGTCAAAGGTAATGATATTTTGGTTGGTAAGTTAACCCCCGAATCTAGTCTTCACAAAGAAACCGAAGTGGAATTATTACTAAGAGACAT